AAAAAAAAAACATTTATCATTTGGATACTATCTAAAAGTAAAGTAATTCATATTTAATAATAATAAATGTTAAATTAAGATCTATATTATGAATTTAAATACAAATCTTAAGAATCACTAATCTACTCTGTAACCAATATTATTAGTACTGAGAATATTTATATTTCTTCAATCCTGTTTTTTTTTTAGCTTTTTGTAGTTTTGAAATTTTTAAAAATGAGGTATACATTTTTGGGACATTTATTTATTTTTTTACTAAATGACCCAATACTGAAACAGTAAATTTATCATACATTCATAATATCTAAATTTATTATAATTAATATTCATAACATAGTTGCTATAAAATTACAGGTATTTTGAACTCTTTATGTGCCAAAAAAAATATACAAGGATTTGACTGTGATGCAGAACAAGAAAGAGTACAAAAATTATATAGCACTTTGGTATCCCAAGTTCAAGATAAATATGTCAAGAACCAATGTGAAAAGTCAGATATACAACCGACCGTGGATGCTMAAACTATATTTGATTATATTTCAACCCATGAAAATTTACCATCCAGGGAAATCGAAGAATTAGTTGAATTATTTAAAAGCATTGCCAAAACATATTCTGATTCACCAATTGGATTTGACACTTCGTTTAATATCAATATACAGCCAAATTTACCAATCCTGTGTGCAGTTAAAAATATTTTTGCAAACATGTTCTATCTTATTTTGTGGCTAGGAATAGGTAAAATATTTTTTCTACTTCATATAAATTAGATAATCATAAACAATTAAAAACCTTAACACTTATTATAACTAATTTTATTTTTTTAGTTTCATTGTCCCTTATGAGTCTTTATTTTGGAATATGCTACATGACRACCAAAAGTGAAAAACATAAATATGAAGTTAATCGCTTAGTTGAAAGCATAATTGATTTACTGAAACAACAAGCTCAGTATCGACCCAATGAAAGTTATTTACCTATCATACATATACGTGATCAATTAATTCCACCAAATGAGAGACAAAGTATTAAAATATGTTTAACTSTAAAATAATTTACCTTTTTCTATAACATTGTTATTTATTTCAGCAAAATCTAAGATTTGGGCTGAAGTTGAACAATATTTCTCTGAATCAGAATCAAGAGTAAGATCTGAAATCCAACAAATTGATGGTGAAGACTTTCAAGTATGGAGATGGGTTCAACCTATGTCCCCTGTCACAGCGTAAGTTATATTTTTTATTAATATTTTCAAAAAATCCTAAGCAAATAAAGAAGCCTAACCTTGTAAATCACAGAACAAATCAAGCAATATAATGAAAGTCTATGTGCTCCYCGTTTAAGTTATATCCTCCCCTCCCCCCCTCTTTTCAAAAAGTAAATAAATTTATGTTAGTGATTATTGTTTGAAATAATAGTTAGCTATRATGAACAAAGAAGGTTTCTTGTGGTTTTAACCCCCGTGTTATAAAATCATTGAGTAGATCTCTGAAATATAAGTGAATAATTATTTTTATAATTTACTTTGTTATAATGACTTTAAATATTTCTTAATGCATTTGATGTTTGCTTAGTGGCTAGTACACCACACAGTTAATCATGACAATATCAATAACAATAATCCTTTATTCCCRTGAAAACCACTTTTTTTTAAAATTTCATTATTAATAGTAAAGAAAGAAATAGTAACATATTATACAAATAATACGTTATAATTTTATATTTTTACTTAAGTATCATATGTGAATGTAATTTTTAATGTATAACATTATTGTAATTATTATTTTAGAAAAAAAGTTTGGCAAGGTCAAGCATTTGAAACTAATGAAGGTAGTATGAATTCTCCTCAACCAAGTCCTACTTCTTGTTTAAAAATCCGTCATATGTTTGGACCAGATTCGTAAGTGGAATGTTTGTAAAAATAATTTTCTTTTCTATACCTAACTAATAACTTTAATATGCTATAACAATTGTTTTGTTTATTTTACACAGTATGCTAGGAGTTGATTGTGAAACACGTGTCAAAGATGCTATTCTAGAAAAATGTGAGTCTGTAGAAGTTTTACATCTTTCAGTTGATCGTAGCAGTCAAGAAGGATGTGTTTATGTTAAATGTGCCTCTCCTGCTGAAGCAGGAAAAGCTTATAGACAGTTACATGGATTTTGGTATGATGGTATGTAACATGTTATAATATAATTATTTAGTTAGACAAGTTAATTATTATAGAATCATATAATTATTTAATATTTGGACCTAATTGGTTTTAATAATTTCAGGAAAATTGGTAACTGTAAAATTTTTACGTTTGGAGCGTTACCATCAAAGATTTCCAGATGCTGTTAACACAACAATACCTCTTATGCCATCTAATAATGAAAAACGTTCGTTACAATAAATTGAATTATTATATTAAAATAATTTTGTCACTAACATTGTTGTTTAATTTTAAAAACGTCTTAACGTTTTAATAATAATTAATATAATAGGTAAATGTTTTAACATTACTGCTAGAACTTTTTTGTTGTTTTCTACTTTTATTATTTCTATAAGTAACAAACCTGTATAACTCCTTGTGAAGTAATATTTTTTTTTTTTTACTATTTCTTATTTTTTATTCTTATGCTTGTGGAAGCCACCCTAAGTTATTGAATATATTTTTGTAAACTAATAGATGAATTAAACATTTTCCATGTAATATATTAATACTGCATACAAGTATGTTATATACATTTAAATATTATTCTCTGTTATATATTTTATCCCAATTTAATTGGTTAACCAAAAATGTCTAATATTTTAATTATTAAATATTTGTTTGACTGAATTACCTTTAATTTAATATAATATATTTGAATAAGTAAAATAAAAATGGGCAACATATAAATTAACTAGTTTAATTACTATTGTCACTATCGTATACCATTTAAGAGGACGCTACACCAGTATGTGTTATTTCAGTCTTACAAATATAAAACAGTAGAAATGGTTTGAGCGAGAAAGGTACATTTTTGCTCAATTATTACAGCCTAAATGGTGCCTGTAGTACAAGCTAAGCAACATAATGTTCACACTATAAAGAGGAAAACATTTATTGTGCAACAATGTTTTTATTTATTCACTATCAGAACTAAAAAAAYAAAATCATTTGAAAAACTCAAAAATATTGAATTTTTTTGGTTATATTGAAAAAATAAAACAACGTCACRCTGTAAATTTTCTTCTCTTAATGGTGTGAAAGTCTAATTACTTAGTTGGTACTACAACCTGACATTCTTTACAGGCAAAACAATTTTTACTATGTTGTTTTATATTTGTTAGACAATACATGCATTCTCTTAAATGTTTTTAAAGTGTTTAAATAAATAATTGCAGTTAGTTTAATATTTGATAAATAATCTAATTTTTTTTTAATTTTAAACATATTTGCTCTAGTTTAAGTAACTAAAATCTTAGTTATCATTTATTGTAACAATTGTAGTCTTAGATTACATAGTAATTATTATACCTAAGGTTATGAGTGTGAAATATTTCACACTTGAAACTTGGTTGAAATATTTCAATACAATATTGAAAAATATATTTTTTTAATTTTATACTTTTTGATGTGTTCTTATGAAATCATCACCAGAAAATTAAACTAATTTCATATCTAATTAATGAAAATAAATAATTATTATGTAATTTATATAATGTATAATGTCAGCAATATGTCTATAACATTTAACTAAGTAGATGTATTTCCTACTATAATTTTAAATTAAAATTTTATTTTTCAAAAAATTAATTTTATTAAATTTTAGAACCCTATTTGTACCCATAAAGGCTATAATCTATAACCAAATATTTTAGTTAATTATTAGAAAGTTGTTACATGTAAGGTTGTAAAAGTTTAAAAATTTAGTGAATAATTTATTCTGAGTAATTGTTTTCTTTAAAACATTAATTAATTTCATTTTTGACAGTTTCTAATATAAGTAGAATATTTCGTTTTTGAGTRCAGCACTACATCATCACTTAATAACTACCTAGGTACCTAGATACTGATTTTCTAGTTTAGATAGATATGAMAAGCTATAAGCCATTGAGACTATTAAAAAATGGACAATTAATATTTTAATTTGGTAGTTACATGATTTTGAGTCATATTTATGATGACATAATGCAGCTAATCACAATTGCATGCAAATATTCCGAAAAATATTAAAACTATTGCTGTTAGGTATGGAGACTTATAAAATTATATTACTCTAATTACTTTTCTGAACTTAATAAATTATAGTAAGAAACTAAACGTTACATATRTTTTGGATGAGCATTAGGTCTGATCGTGTTATATTATATATATTATTGCATAGGTACTTYTATTCCAAATGATAATAACAGTTCGTCAGTCCACAACAACTAAATTCGATTGTCACCACTCATCATCACGCATTCCCACTAGGAAAGTCAGGAAGTTTCAATCTTTTCTGCTCGTGTGGCATCATGCAATATGCACCAGTAGACCACGCTTACCGCACACCATTGATCTTATTTGGAAATTGGAATAGAAATTAATTAGGTYTTAGTCATCAAAGTATCATAATATCTATAGTAGGTATATCATTGAAAAAAAAAAATTTATTGAATGAAAATTTCACTTGATTGTGTGACGTGAACCATTGCACTAATATGTGCCTATGGTATTTTGAAAC